CTATTAGGAATTTATATGTATTAATGACGAAAAAATAGTAATAAAGATAATATGTAGGTACTTATTAATACAGATTCTTTCCTAAATAATCAAGCAATCCGAACATGAAGGTGATTATGTTAACTAATCGTTAATAATGCATTATTTTTCTATGCAAATGAAATTCTAAATTATAAAAACTATAGTTTTAATGAAAAATCACAGTTAGGACCAGAACGACTACTAGACAATTTTTTGTCCCTATCCAGTCACACTCTAAATTTCAGAAAGACGTCAATGTATTATATTCCTATAACCGGATATTTCTCCAACGTTATATAGAGATGAAGCCTCGTAACCCACGACTTCCAAATTAAAATTTACTTGAGACCCCACATTTAAAAGTAGATATAAGTCTTACATTATTTCCTGGTTCATGAATTAAAAAGTATAATATCGATTATATATATTAGATTTTTTCTATATGTATATAATATTTATAACATATAATATTTATATTTATTAATAATATATAATAGAGGTATATAATTTTTATATTTCCCAAAAATTGTGTTATTTTATATGATATTTCTTTCTTACATTTAAAAATACTTTTTTAATTACCTTTATAACTTATTCCAAATTTAGCTGGATTAATCCTCTTACCTGAAAATAAAAAAATAGTTATAAGAATTATCTATCAAAACATGGAGCTTTTAATATAGGCTATAGTACGAAAAATCTAGACTAGAATATACTATGCACACGACTATAGAATAGACTATAGTCTGGACTATAGAATCGACTGTATTCTAGAGTATAGAATACAATATAGAGTAGAATAGAATAGAATATAGTCTGGACTATAGTCTAGATTATAATCTAGACTATATAGTCTATTATAGTATGGACTATGGAATATTGGATTTTTTGGCTATCGAATCGACTAAAGTTTAGACTATAACCTGTACTAGAGGCTGGATTATAGAATATACTACAGTCCGGACTAGACTATGGTCTCGACTATAGAATAGACTGTATTCTAGAGTATAGAATATAATGTAGAGTAGACTATAGTCTAAACATTAGAATATACTATAGAATAGAATATAGTCTGAACTATAAAATAGATTATAATTTTGTATGCCTTTTCGAATAGACCATTGTTTGGACTATAGAATAGATTTTTGTCTGGACCATAGATAGTCTGGAGTATAGAATATAATATAGTCTGGAGTATAGAATAGACTGTAATCTGGACTATAGAATAGACTATAATCTGGACTGCAGAATGGACTACAGTACGGTAAGCCCGGTTGGGCTTGAATCAAGCTCAAAATGCTTGAATGCTTTGATTTGTCAACAACGTATTTTATCATATTTTGTCATTATTTATGTAAACAATAAAAAAGAACAAAAAAAAAAAACAAACATAATACCAGTTATGATGTTTTCTAATATTATGCGTAGACGAAAAAAGAATCTCACAACCAAACTATTACTATAAAAACTACACATACTCCAGCTTAACTTATCAAACAGTTAAAGCTAATCAATAAGAAAACACTTAGGTAGGTAGGTAGGTAGGTTGATAGGAGGATGTATACTACATCAAATCCAAAGAAGTACACCTAGGCCACTATCGGGCCTGTTGTGCGCTCCAATTCAAGAAAAAAAAAAAAAAAAAAAAAAAAAAAAAAAAAAATTTTGTTCACTGAATGTATTATTTTTCCATGTTCAGAAACTCAGTTTCCTGGACGTAATTCCTAAGAATCTTCCAATCGGTGTTGGTTAAGAATGTTATTTCTGGAATAACATCACTTCCAAGATACTTGGATCTAACTTCGACGAATGCCTGACAATGGCAAAGAAAGTGCTCCAGAGTTTCACTGTCCTCTCCACATGCTCTACATTCGTCTGAATTCGCACGTCCAATTTTGTATAGATGTGCTCGTAATCCTGTGTGTCCACTGAGAATACGTACCATCATACTAACCTCAGACTTGCTCATTTTGAGAAGATTTCTCGTCTTGCTCTCATCAGGGTCACCCCATAGAATCTTTGTGGTTCTACCCACCGTTTCATTATTCCAAGAGGCCTTATGGGATTCTCTCATCCATATTTTTAATTCAGCTTTTGTTGCGTCGAATGGTTTTGCGTTTGTCAGGTTAACTACATCGAGCTCCCTTCCCTTTAAAGCTATTACATTCGCCCTTTCGTTGCCGACTACTCCCGAGTGTCCTGGTACCCATATGATGTGAACCTTACCTCTGGGAGAGTATTCAGTTAAAGCTTTCTTACAATCCAATACAGTCTTAGATTTAATTCTATCACCTGATATCGCACAAATTGCCTTCTGGCTGTCGGTAAATATATTAAGCCCTGTGGGCGCCATATTTATTCTAATCCAATTTACACATTCCGTTATTGCTCGTACTTCTGCCTGAAAGCTTGTGTTATGATTAGGTAAACGGTGGTATATTTCTGTTTCTGGGTCTTCAATATAGAACCCCAGACCCACTTTGTCCCCTAATTTAGAGCCATCCGTGTAGCAACGGATTCCTACTGGTATTTGCTCTAATGTTCCGCTTGACCAAGACATTCTATCTGGGATTAGCTTAACACTTAACTTTTCTAACAAAAAATCAAAACAAAATGTTCAAATTGGTAAGTTTCAAAAAAAAAAAAAAAATTTACAAAATCTTCTATAATTTGTGCTATTAACTTAAATTATAATTTCTTTCGTCCGCAGTTCGTCTTCGCTGCTCTCTTTGCCTTGGCTGCTGCCCGTCCCGGCTACTTGGCTTCTTCTCCCGTTGTCTACTCTTCTCATTATGCACAACCCGTCCACTATTCCGTCCACAAGACTCTTGTACCCGTAGTTCACAAGACTGTTGTACCTGTAGTCCACAGGACTGTTGTGCCCGTAGTTCGCACTCAAGTTGTCAATACTGTTGTTTCTACCCCTGTTGTACATGCTGCTCCTGTTGTACATGCTTCACCCTTATACCACTCTGTTGCCATAGGATCAAGTTACGCTCCCGCATATGGTATCTTGAAGAAATAGACTCTTCTCTAGCACAAATTAATAATTTTTAAGGAATTGATAACAATGAACTGATTTTGTTGAATAAAGGAAAAATAATAAAAACGAAAAAAAAAAATGTACAATTGAATTTTTTTATAGCAAATGATCATTAATTTGTATTATTAATAAAGTCGCAGTTGAAATTGTAGATAAAAGTAATAAATGGTCCTTGTCTGTGAATATCCGGCACTAGCTGTCAAGAGAAATGAAGCCTTGACAAAGATATTTTATCCAAAGGATGATGTATGTAACATAAAAACCGAAGAAATACACCTAAGCCTTCATTGGGCCCATTGTGCGCTCTCTAACCAGTGCCTTAGGTGGAAATCGAACTCATGACTAGCAGACCAGAACACTAACCACTATCCTACTGGAAGCCACACTCATTATGAAGACTTTTCTAACATCTGTGGTCCAAACTCCTGTTGTCAATAATGTTCTTTTTCAAACTATTTGTCAGGAATGTTCTTGTCAATACTCCCATTACAAAGACTCTAGTCCAGTCTGCTCCCGTAGTGCATCATTCTCCTTTGTATTACTCGGTTCCAGTACTCAAAAATTATGCTATCACCTAAATTTAGTCGAATATACTGAATAAGTATAATCCATTTTTCTTTTCTGCTTTTGTGGTTCACGAATGAACTGTTTTAATTGAACTAAATTGTTTATATTGTGTTAAGGACTAAGTTTAGAATTAATAAGTCCAAAAAAGTCCATAGTTTTTATAAATAAAACATCATTTTTATTAACAAATTAACAACATAACACTCAGTTCTAATAGCTGAACAAATTTATATAGATTCATCCTCTATATTGACTTAGTTTTTCCAGGCACCATAAGCAGAAACACCATGAGATACATACAAAGGTTCAGCATGGACCAAGGGTGCAGAGTGTACTACAGGTGTAGCAATTGAGTGAACAACAGGGGCAGCTACAACAGTCTTAACTACGGGCACAGAGTAATGAGCCTTAACGACTGGCTGAACATAGTGAGATGAGTAGACTACGGGTGAAGAAGCCAAATAGCCAGGACGAGCGGCAGCAATGGCGAAAAGAGCAGCGAATACCAAGACAACCTTTAGAGGAAAAGCATTATGTTATTAAAAATTTTTTTGCGAATTTTAAAGATTTTCAGATTTACTTACAAATTTGAACATTTTGTTATAGTTTTTTTTAACGAAACTTTGGTTTGAAAATAGAACTGTTTTCTTTAAGAAAAGATTTCGTTGATTGACATATTTAACAAATTCTTCTTTAGTATTTATAGACAATATTTCAATTTCCTATTTCGTATGCAGTTTTCTGCAACTAATAACAGGTCTTCTAAGATTTTCATATTATTGTTTGATTTTAAACAAAACGTTTGTATTGTTTTATTAAGATCGTTTGACTACTATTGATAATATCTAAAATATTTTTCATATTTTTAATAAAAACAATAACAATTATTTAGAATAAAATTAATCATCAACTTTTGTTTTAATGTTTGAAATGAATGAAAACCTAAACGAGATTTTTTTTCAAATAAGTAGAAACTAAACTATATCTAGACAAACATTTGTGGAAACACCCTCGCCTTAGTCTTGTCTAAATTCTCGTATAGTGTGACCTTAAAAGTGCTGTTGATAGTTGTTCCCATACTCTCTTATTAAGTTTCTACTGTATTCTAGACTATTGCCTCATTTATGGAATAGTATATCGTTTAAAGTTCGACTATAATCTCGTTAATAGTTTCGTCTATAACATCTAGTCTCGTAAAAGGTTTCGAATATAAGCACATCTAAAACTTTTGTTCATACTATAAATTATAGTGACAATAATCTTGTTTAAAATATTTTCATACGTTTCGTCTGTAGTTTCGACTATAAACAATTTTATAGATCCATTTTTAGTTCCGAGTGCCGTCTACAATTTTGAATATAGTTGCGACTCTCGTATATACTAGTTTCCATAGTTTCAATTATAATCTCGTTTACTCTCATGACCTTAGTCTCGTCTATAGTTTCGACTCATCTGCAATTTCGAGTGCAGTTTATAATTTCGACTATAAACTCGTCTATAGTCACGTCCAAAGTTTCAACTAAAATCTCGTCTATTCTGCTGACTATAGAATCGTATTTAGTGTTCTCTATAAATTGGTGTTCATAGATTCGACTTTAATCTTGTCTAATCCCTTGACCACAGTTTCTTCTATAACTTCTTGACCATAGTATCATGACCTTAGTCTCGTTTATAGTTTCGACTCATCTGCAGTTTCGAGTGTAGCCTACAATTTCGACTACAAACTCGTAGACATGTCCATATAGTGATGCCCAAAGTTTCGACTGAAATCTCGTCTACTCCCGCTGACCATAGCATCGTCTATAAATTGTTGTTCAACGATTCAACTTTAATCTTGTCTACTCCCTTGACCACAATTTCTTCTATAACTTCTTCTAGTCTGGTATATAGTTTCAACTATAGGCTTGTCGGTAGTTTCGACTAGTCTCGGCCATAACTTTGACTATAATTCAAGTGTTTTTTTGTATATACACTCATCTTTAATGTCGATTATAATTTAGAATAAAGTCTCCCTTATAGTCCCTTCTATAGTTTTAACTATTATTCTGTCTATAATCTAGTCTGTTGATTCGACTGCAATCTAGTCTATAGTTGTATTAAAAACTAGAAATTGCATTCATAACTAAGATATTCAAATTATTTGGACATTATGTTAATCTATTAAATTGAGAAAAATAAGTTAGAACAGACGAATCAATTGTTTTCAAAATATAAACCAGAACACTAATAAATAGTTTACTTTTCTCTAACAAGATCAACAATAGGAAAAAGCAACAACTATATCTATTATAATCTCAACTAACAACTAATGCAAAAAACGTACATCATATCAGTACTTTATAGTTTTACTATAAAAACTCCAGATTCTACTGACAAACTTATCAATCACTTAAAGCCACACAAAACGTATATAACTTCAATTTACAAAACTAAATCTTAACAAAATGTTCAAATTGGTAGGTCCAAGTCCTTAAAAAATTTCTTTAAATTAAAAAATTAAGTTTTTTGTTTTAAAGATCGTCTTGGTATTCGCTGCTCTCTTTGCCATTGCTGCTGCCCGCCCCGGTTACTTGGCTTCTTCTCCCGTAGTCTACTCTTCCCACTATGTACAACCTGTTGTAAGTGCTCATTACTCTGTGCCCGTAGTCCATGCTCCCGTAGTACATTCTGCTGTTGTTGCCCCTGTTGTACACGCTGCTCCCGTCTATCACTCTTATGGTGCTGTCGTCAAGAGCTACGCTCCCGCTTATGGTGCATGGAAACATTAAACATTGTGATAACGATTAAAATGTAAGCCAAGGACCTGAGTTAGAATTTAAGAAAAAAATAAAATTTTATAAAAAAAAATATTTAAATGAAAGTTTTATGTTTTATTTGGTGAATTATTTGAAGTATTCAGAGTGTATTAACCGGATCGAAACTATTCCTGGGAAAATAGTTTCGATAATCGCGACTCTTCACTATGAACTCGTCTACCATATCGACTATTATATCTAACATAAAATTGTCTGTAATATTTGCTATAAACTCGTATAAAATGTCGACTATAAACTCATCTATAGTTCGGACTAGAAACTCATCTATAATATCGACTATAATATGTCTATTGTTTTGACGATAAACTGCCCTATAGTATAGATTTGATACACGTCTATAGTCTTAGAAACTCGACTATAAACTTTATAGTCTAAAGTCCCGACTATAAACTCGTCTACAGTCTGGAAATTAAACTTCTCTTAAATCTATATCTATAATCTCATCTATAATCCAAATTCTCGAACATAAAATCAACTATAGTTTAGTCTACTATAAACTCGTCTGTGCTGTCGATTACAAACTCGTCTATATTATCGACATTAAACTCTAACACTCTAAAAGTCTCGACTATAAACTAGTGAATAGTCTAGACTATAAATTCATCTTTAGTCTTGACTATAAACTTGTCTATAGTTTAGACTATAAAGTCGTCCAAAGTCATTCGTCTAAAGTCTTGACCATAAACACGTCACTAGTCTCGACTATAAACTCGTCTAAATTAATCCGAATAATCTCGTCTATGATATCTTACTGCTGCATTTTTCAAAATTCCTATTTCTTTAAATATATTCTTTAAATAATGTAAATGTTTCTAGAACATCATCCAATTTAATTGACTTTGTTTACAAAAGGTAATCGATTCCATATATAGTCTATAAAATAATCCGTTTAAAAATAAATAAATATTATCAAAAATATATTTACACTTTTTTTTACATGGCTTAAACAATCTCATAAATTATTGTATAAACTAATAAAATCACAAATTTAAATATAAATAGCGAAATGTTTGTAAAACATCATTAACATTTCTATGGAATTAATAACAGACATGTGTTGAGTAGAAACAAATAAACAAATTTATAATAAATTTATCAAAATATAAAAATCACTATAGAAAAAAGTTTAATCAGCTTAAATGTTTAGCTTGGAACGTTGCTTTTTTTTTGGAAAACGCAAAAAATTTGGGTTTTTCTATAAAGATGGCTGTACTAATTTGTTTATATCACTCTGGGGAGTTATGTGATAAAAGCTAAAGTTTCCGGGTTGTTTATATTTTTCTAAGTTTTAAGCCTTTGTGCAAAAAAAAACTTTTGTTTAGATTTTTTTTCTGACAATTTTGTGTACATAATTCGAGATAAGTTCTTTTGTTTGAAATTTAAAATATGGACTTGTTTTGTTCTTAAACATTTATTTTCAATATTAATTAGTTTGTTTATAGAATTTGTTGAGTTTTTGTTTTCAGTCTTGTTCAGTTTTGAGATATAATAAATAGAAGCGTTATTGTATCTTTGGAAGTTGTGCTATTTAGTTATACAACGCTTAATAAGTTGGTAGAGTTATATTTCAAGTTGTTTGTAACAAACTATGAACATTTTTAACAATCAACAAGTGAACTATAATTTGTGTGATTCATGAAAATATATTCTAAACTTGTCAAATATTCTATATTTTAGTAGACAATTTCTTCGGATATATAATGTAGACTAAACTGAAGTCTAGTCTAAACATTGATTTCATCTATAAACGCCTCTAAAATGCAATCTGTAATATTGTATCCATTCTCGTCTATAATTTTTTTCGAAGTTTGGGTCTAGAGTCTTCTAAAGTCAAGTCACTTCAGATAAGGGATTTTAGCTTAATTCAAGTCAGTAAAATCGTCACAACTCGTATATGATGTAGATAATACACTGGACTATTGAAACTCGTCAGTAAATTAGTTAGTTAGTTAGTTAGTTAGTTAGTTAGTTAGTTAGTTAGTTAGTTAGTTAGTTAGTTAGTTAGTTAGTTAGTTAGTTAGTTAGTTAGTTAGTTAGTTAGTTAGTTAGTTAGTTAGTTAGTTAGTTAGTTAGTTAGTTAGTTAGTTAGTTAGTTAGTTAGTTAGTTAGTTAGTTAGTTAGTTAGTTAGTTAGTTAGTTAGTTAGTTAGTTAGTTAGTTAGTTAGTTAGTTAGTAGTTAGTTAGTTAGTTAGTTAGTTAGTTAGTTAGTTAGTTAGTTAGTTAGTTAGTTAGTAGTTAGTTAGTAGTTAGTTAGTTAGTTAGTAGTTAGTTAGTTAGTTAGTTAGTTAGTTAGTTAGTTAGTTAGTTAGTTAGTTAGTTAGTTAGTTAGTTAGTTAGTTAGTTAGTTAGTTAGTTGGGAAGTTGGTTACTAACTCAATTCATTCCGTCTCCATAAAAACTTCAACATTTTTCAGACGAAATACATATTAATGACACAAAAAGCGTGTCGTTTATTAGAAATCAAACTCGTTATGTTTTGGTCACTAAAAAGCTATTAAATTAATCTATGTGTGCGCAGTGTAAAACCCTCTGTGTATTTGCGGCTATTCGAACGGTCTGCAAGATCTAATTACAAATTTTTATTTCTATGAACTTGAAAACATTTGGAAGTAAAGACTAGCAGCAATGGGGAATTTATTATGTGTTAATGATGAAAAAATGATAATACAGATAAAATTAATACATATTTTTTCTAAATAATCAATGAAGCTGAACATGAAGGTGATTTTGTTTGCTTATAGTTAATAATGCATTAATTTCCTATGCAAATGAAATTCTAAAGTATAAATACTATAGTTTAAATGAAAAATCACAGCAAACATTTGTTAAGTTTCACTTGAGGAAAATCTCAAGCATTAGAAATCTACTTAAGGAATCAGGAGTTACATTTATATTACAAAAACACAATGTTCAAATTGGTGAGTATGTAAAGGATCTCAAAATGCCTAATTTTCATATATATTTCCTCTCTATTCCTCTTAGCTGGTTTTATACGCTTTCGTTGCTGTTTCCCTGGCCAATCCTAGTATTATTGCTTCCTCCCCCTCGTATGTTAGTTACAGTGCTCCCGTTGCTGCGGTGGCTTATCATCAACCCGCCTTAGCTACTGTGGGGGCTGTTGTCAGAACCGTACCCACATCGGTATCTCATGCTAGTCATGCTGTTGTCCATAAATCTTCTTCAGTTGTTCAAGATGTAGTGGCTCCTGTTATAAAAACTACTTACACGGCACCCGTTAGCTATTCCACTTATGCTGCTGCTCCCATAAGTTATTCTTCATATGTTTCTCCTTTGGCTTATAGACATTAGAAAAAGAGGGAAGTATATAGTAAAAGTTGGCTTTTTACGGCGTGCTTACATTGTGATGAAAAGCAATGGGTGAAGTATATGATGGTTGTCTTGTTCAACGAATGTTTTTGTTTAGTAGACTTATTGAAATATAAATAAAAAATTGCTTAGTATGAAAAACAAGGAGAACAACTAGAGTTTTATTTTTTCTAGTTAAGGTTCTAGGTCAGTTCTAGTTAAGATGTAGTTAAGATCTAATTCAGTTCTAGTTCAGTTCTAGTTCAGTTTAGTGAGTTCTAGTTCAGTTTCTAATTCAGTTCTAGTTCAGTTATAGATCAGTTCTAGTTCTGTTCTCAGTTCAGTTCTGGTTAGTCTAGTTCGTTCTAGTTCAGTTCTAGTTCAGTTCTAGTCAGTTCTAGTTCAGTTCTAGTTCAGTTCTAGTTCAGTCTAGTTCAGTTTCTAGTTCGGTTCTAGTTCAGTTCTAGTTCAGGTCCCAGTTCAGTTAGTTCAGTTATAGTTCAGTTCTAGTTCAGTTCTAGTTCAGTCCTAGTTCAGTTCTAGTTCAGTTCTAGTTCAGTTCTAGTTCAGTTCTAGTTCAGTTTCTAGGTTCAGTTCTAGTTCAGTTCTAGTTCAGTTCTAGTTCAGTTCTAGTTCAGTTCTAGTTCAGTTCTAGTTCAGTTCTAGTTCAGTTCTAGTTCAGTTCTAGTTCAGTTCTAGTTCAGTTCTAGTTCAGTTCTAGTTCAGTTCTAGTTCAGTTCTAGTTCAGTTCTAGTTTCAGTTCTAGTTCAGTTCTAGTTCAGTTCTAGTTCAGTTCTAGTTCAGTTCTAGTTCAGTTCTAGTTTCTAGTTCAGTTCTAGTTCAGTTCTAGTTCAGTTCTAGTTCAGTTCTAGTTCAGTTCTAGTTCAGTTCTAGTTCAGTTCTAGTTCAGTTCTAGTTCAGTTCTAGTTCAGTTCTAGTTCAGTTCTAGTTCAGTTCTAGTTCAGTTCAGTTCTAGTTCAGTTCAGTTCTAGTTCAGTTCTAGTTCAGTTCTAGTTCAGTTCTAGTTCAGTTCTAGTTCAGTTCTAGTTCAGTTCTAGTTCAGTTCTAGTTTCAGTTCTAGTTCAGTTCTAGTTCAGTTCTAGTTTCAGTTCTAAGTTCAGTTCTAGTTCAGTTCTAGTTCAGTTCTAGTTCAGTTCTAGTTCAGTTCTAGTTCTAATTCAGTTCTAGTTCAGTTCTAGTTCAGTTCTAGTTCAGTACTAGTTCAGTTCTAGTTCAGGTTTAGTTCAGTTCTTGTTCAGTTCTACTTCCAGTTCAGTTCTAATTTAGTTCAGTTCAAATTCAGTTCTAGTTCAGTTCCAGTTCAATCCCAGTACAGATTTAGTGCAGTTTTTTTCAGTTTTAGTTCAGTTTAGATCCCGAAATAGTTGTATTTTATGCTAAGAACCTGATTTAATTTCTTGAGCATTAATGGAATGATTTTCTTCAACTAAAGGCACACGGATTTTATTTTCAAAAAACAATACATTCCGAAGTATATAACTGGTATTTAACTTTAATGGTAAAAAACTATTGTTAGTTACTATTGGAACACATCTACATGTAGTTATTGTAAATTACATTTACATTACAGTCTGTAAAAAGTGTAAATAATATGGTGTCAGTAAGGGGTTTAAGGTTTTCAGATTGTAATTACTTCTACTGTCTCTGTGGATAGCCTTCTAAATTCTTGATTTCATGTCTTTAACAATTTTTACAAGACAAAAATCCAAAATGTAATTTCCAAGATTTGAAGTAACACACACATTAATCATATTACTTGCACATTATTTGTTAACTTGTTTTCAATTGTTTGTAACTCAATTTAGAGTGTGTTTGTGGTTTTTAACGCATAATTTTAGGGCCAAGTTCATGGCTACTGTTTCATTTTATTATTACCACTAATTTTAAAGTTATTGTTGAAGTTAATGCAACATAAAAGAGCTAAAAGTAATGGTTTATTATTATTACAAGAATTATTGTTTAAAGAAAAGCTTGAAAATTAAATAAACTAAAATTGTAACAATTGAGTATATAAACTGTAAATACAACTGAAATTCTATAACAGTTTCTTAAACTCTCCAACACAAACAACATAGACCTTTCCAGATCAAAGCAAAAAAATCAAAATGTTCAAATTGGTAAGTAATTCCTTAATAGTTCAACTATTTCAAAATGCTAATTCTATTACAATTTTTCCTTTTTTCCCAAAGGTGGTGTTGTCTGCTTTATTCGCCGTTGTCTTAGCTCGTCCTGGTTTATACGAAACTGAGAAGTTGGTATATTCCGCACCTGCTTATGCCTCGGTTGTGCAACAAGAACATGGTTATGCTCATGTTGGTTCCATTGTAAAATCTGTGCCTTCAGCTGTCTCTCATCAAAGCCAATCTGTGGTCCATAGTTCTGCTCATTACGTAGAAGATGTTTTGGCTCCTGCTGTCAAGAGCACTGAATATACAACAAAGACTTTAGTTGCTCCTGTGATTAAAACCTATGCCGCTCCAGCTTATGTTAAAACTATTGCAACTCCTGTTATATACAAGTCATATGCCGAAGCTGCTCCCGTTTTGTATAAATCTTGGTAAAGTGGTGAAAAGGAAGAAAATTTGAGGTTTTTTGTTGTCTGATTTTGTTAAATATAATGTGATTTTTAAAATATGTATTGTTTTTCGATAAAAAATTAAATGAAAATAATTTTTAATATTCTAGAGTTTTTTTAAAATTACATTAGTCATTCATTAGTGAAAAATAGCTTTTTAATGACAATTGCTTCTGAATAGAAAAACTGTTTAATTATAAAAAAAGATATTTCTTGGTGGAAATCCTATTTCTTGATGAAAATCTTAATGATAAACTTTTTTCTATGAAAAATTTATTTAAAAATTTATGAGAAATAAAATGGTTTTATTGAAAACTAATGAACAAAAAACTGTTTTTTGGTTGTCCTACTACTCAGGAGATAGCCCCTTCCTATACAACGCGCTGTGTAAGAAGTAGGAAACTAGGTTGTGGAAGGGAGGGAGTAATGTTTGTGGAAATTTGATCTAAAACTTTATACATCAATACTTCTGCAGGATGTTTGCTCAAGTTTCCTAACTTTAGAGGAAGGTTCCATTATAATATCGGTAAAACAGTTAATATACCCCACGATGATTTAGTGAATCAATCGAATTGGTAGCTTCAAAATAGCCTATGAAGCTCCGGCCCATATATTAGAATTGGCTTACATTATTGGAATATGATTCGATTAGATTGATGGGGCACAAAGCACTGCGACCTACATACATAGGTGTGGATCTATTGTGCAGCCCATTGGTTCTCCATACAAATTTTAGTTCATGCTCAAAGGTAACTGGTTTAGTTGGTGAGAGGTTGAAGATGCCTTTTGAGTTTAGCAAGGCAGCACCCAAGATCTTAGCTCTGCAAGATTCTAATGTTGGGCAGTTACATAAGATATGTTCTGAAGTTTCATCTTGTCGGCCACAGAATCTACATAGATTCGTTGAAGAGTTGCCTAAAATGAATTGATGGTAACTGAGACCACATTGTCCAGTAAGTAACCATGTTAGTACTCTGAGATCGCTTTTATTGAGCGCTAGTAGCTTTTGGGATTTTCCCTTTGACAGTGTAATGAAACGTTTTGTCTGTCTGAGCCCTGGTATTGCTTTCCAATGGCGAATAAATTCAGATTTCACCCAAGGGTCACATTTAGATTTGGCGTATTCTCGGGGAATGCCAAAGAAGAGCTCATGGCCGATTAGTTGGCGACTAGCGCCCTTTCATTGCTAGAGTGACCATCATGGCCAGGTAAAAATTGGAATTTAATAGAGAGAAATTCTTTGTCGAAAAAAGTCGAAGTCGACTATTTTGTTCCAAAAAAGTCGATAACTTGACTATCGTCTATAAAAAAGTCGACTTTGTAAATAAAAGTCGAAAAAAGTCGTAAAAAGTCGAAAAGTCGGAAACTCGAAAATAGTAAAACAAAGTCAAAAATAGTCCAAAATTCTTAAAAAGTGGAAAGAAATCAAAACCTCTAAAATATAGTCAAAAATCGAAAAGTCGGAAAAAGACGAAAAGTCGAAAAAAGTCGACTATTTATAAAATACTAAAAGTCTAAAAGTCGACTTTAAATTAAATGAAAAAAGTCGAAAAATCGACTTTTCATAAAATGCAAAAAGTCGACATTTCGTTTCAACTGTAGAACCCTAGCTGGCACTAATTTACAACTTCTTTGCAAATGTACATAGCAATGTCCCGAGGGATATAATAAGCGATAGGAGATAATACCCAAGTATATAAAAACCCTGTGGAATAGCATTCTCAGACCCACTTTAACTCAGAAGGTTCTTGACCAATCTTGTTGAAACATTGTGCCTAACTACTATCCTATAGGACACAAATTTCATCCCGATCGGAAGACATCGTTTTTAAACGATAAGTTAAGGTAGTAATAGTAAAGTCTCTAGATACCATTCTCAATTCTTAACTTCTTGTCGTTACCGTTTAAAAGAGATAAAATCCAAAATGTAAATTCCAAGAGGTGTAATAGTAATACACATTACCCGCATTACTTGCACTGGGTTTGTTAACTTGTTTTCAAATTGTTCAATTTGTGGTTCAATTTAAAGTGTGTTTGTGGTTTTTAACGCATAATTTCAGGGTCAAGTTTATGACTACTGTTTTTATTATTATGACTTGTTAAAGTTAATAAAAGATAAAACAACTAAAAGTAATGGTTTTTTATGATTACAAGAATAATTGTTTAAAGGAAATCTTGAAGAAGAAATAATTTAGTATATAAACTGCAAACACAACTGAAATTCTATAACAGTTTCTTAAACTCTTAAACACAAACAACACAGACCTTCCCAGTTTAAAAACAACAACAAAAAAATCAAAATGTTCAAGTTGGTAAGTACTTCTCTCTATCCTGCAACTATTTCAAAATGCTAATTCTAGCCAAATGTGTTCCTATTTTACCAAAGGTGGTGTTGTCTGCTTTATTTGCCGTTGTCTTAGCTCGTCCCGGTTTATACGAATCTGAGAAGTTTGTATATTCCGCACCTGCTTATGCCTCGGTTGTGCAACAGGAACATGGTTATGCTCATGTTGGTTCCATTGTAAAATCTGTACCCTCAGCTGTCTCTCATCAAAGCCAATCTGTGGTTCATAGT